TGAGACAGGGTCTTGCTATGCAGTTCGGGCTAGCCTTGAGCTCCCTTTTTAGCCCAGGCTGGTCTCGAACTCCTGCCTCAGCCTCCCAAGTTCCACGATTACAGGTGTACACTACCATGCCCAGCTCTAATAGCTCATTTTGTATGAATTTGGAATCCAGTCTTTTCTCTTGGTCTCTTAATCTGATCAAACTGAAAATAAAGATTAATCACCATGACACTGAAGATATATCTACAACAAGTCATTATCATACTGAGGCAATAATTTCTTACTTTTTTTGGTACCAGGAATCAAACTCAGGACCTTGCACTTGCGAGGCAGGCTCATTGGCTGAGCTGTGGCCTTGGCTGCAGCCATAATCTCATCTTAGCATCATCCAATAATAACTAGAAAGTGAGCTGCTTGCGGACAGGGCCCTTGTGCTAAGATCTCCCTGTAGACCTAACGCCTCACGCAGGGTGGAAACTCGCCATTCCTCGGTTATCACACTAAGGCATTTCTACACATGCTTGCATAGTCCAGCATCTAAGCAGGCCAGCGGGCCTGCTGGTTCTTCCTGTCCTACTGTATGAGTCACGCATGCTCCGTGCAGCCACTCCTCAACCCCCAGCACTGTCACTTCTTTGACAGCTGTGTGGAGCAGGGTGTGCCTAGCTGCAGTGCCTGGTGGTTCTCAAGTTGCTAACACGCTCCCCTCTACCCTTCCTTCCTCCCCATTCTCTCCAGTGAAACACATTTCCGCATTACCAGATGGGCCTAGTCAGTATTTAAAAAATAATAATTTAAGCCTAAAAATTCTTTTCAGTGATTAAAAACAATTAGAACAAAAAGAACACTATCACCGGATATGATAATGCACACCAATAATCCCAGCACTCAGGAGGCTGAGGCAGGAGAATCATTTCAAGTTCAAGACCAGCCTGGGCTACAAAGTGAACTCAAGGCCAGGCTGAACTGCATAGTGAGAACCTGTCTCAAAAAGACCAAAAAAATAAATAAATAAATAAAAATAAAAATAAAAAGGAACCCGACCAGTGGCACAT